AACGACGGAAGGCGAATGCATTTGATGTTGATATTTGGAATCTCGATTTTCCATCACCATATCCAGACCTATTCCAAACCCAGGTGGACCGAATTATTCCTGTAGACAGCGATAAATAGGTTTGAGAAACGTGTTTGGTAGATAACTTGAAATCCCCTTTGAAGTTTTGGGTAATGAATTTCGTCTTGTAGTTCTATGATCATTTTGTTGGAATGAAGATCTAAATATGATAGGTTTGATTTCATTCAAGATTAGTCGATACAGGAGAGAAATTTTGCTTTTGAAACTTATGGAGATTTCTAACTGATCATCTGCTTTGCTCCCCCCTCATGCGTTTTTCCTGTCGTATATTTGCTCGAGACGAGCAAAAGTATAAGTCTGGGGGAGTTTGATAACACGATTTTCTCCTCTATTTCAAAGCCCATTGTCTAGCACCTTTGCATCGGTTTTGTGCATTATTAGACATTTAGGATCATTTTAGACTGGGTTTCGTTTCCTCTGCATTCTCTGGTGATTGAACAGGTAATAGACGCATTATGGGCGCCAGAGGAACATAATCGAAGACTTGGGAGCATATTGGACCGGAACAGAACGATAAAGACACTTCCAACTCGAGTTGCACTTGAACACGGCCATGTCGAGCTCAAACACGACCGTGTCGATGTGAAACACGGCCGTGTCGATCTGCAACTCGCACGTCTCCAGCCTGTGCAGTAGCATAAGTTTTGATCAGACAATTGACACAGATCGTGTTGACATTCGACACGGCCGTGTTACGTTTCGAGAAAACATCCTATTTTTACATCCGAACTTCCGTTTTCAGAATGGAAAAAAGCCTAGCTGCCAAGGAAATAAATAGAGGACGTCTTGGGCTTCAGAAACTATCGAGAGATCACAGGAGAAGCCAGAGAACTCGAGAGAGAATCAAGACGGAGTTTCCCGGGAGCAGAGATTGAAGAATCGTCGTCGAGAGATCGCTGCGAGTCTTCTTTATATGTTTCTATGTTTCTTCTTATTGATTTGAACTCGTTTGTTGTTATGGGTAGTGAGTAGTCGTTTCACTATAGTTAGGGATTTAACCTTGTAGGGATTTGTTTGGTTTTTATTTTCCGAGACTACGTTATCGATACTCGACGGTTTAATTGAATTGAGTTTATTGCTTTTGATCTTCTTGGCCTGTTGATTGATTGATCTTAGATTCTGATTGACAACGAGAGTTGGAATTAGATTCGGGAAGAATTCATTGAATGAATTGATTAAGACTATTGAGAGACAAGTTAATCGGTTTAGGAATTGTCATTGAATGAATTGATTAAGACTATTGAGAGACAAGTTAATCGGTTTAGGAATTGTGATAGTGATTATTAATGCGTTTGATATTTTAATCTATTAGATTAAAAGATCGATAGGTTAAACTGATAGTGGATTTAGGACTTGAGAGAGCCAAATCTGATATTAGAACTTGAGATCCTCGATTAGAGTTCGATATTCGTAGATTTTCCATCCTTAGAAACAATTCCTGCGCGTTAAGGTTATCCCGAAGCTACGGTGGTTTAGTTATTTGATTTTACTTAGTTGGTTTATTGTTTTATATCCGATATTCACATACTTGATTCCATATTTCCTGGTCTAATTCCTTGTCGAGTCTTGTTCCTAGAGTTAACTATTCCCTGTGTTCGACCCTGGTACTACAGTTGATCTGTATCCTTGCGGTATTCGCTGTATCTAGGTTTTTATCAGTTGAACATTATTTCTATACCTAGATTTGCGTTATCACGTGACTGAGGAGTATGATGCTCGCGTAGGAACGTGGACTCTTGTTTCTGATACTGAGGCTTTGAATGTGGTTGGTTGCAAATGGATTTTTTGTATTAAGCGCAAACCTGATGGGTCAGTTGATCGGTTTATGGCGCGTTTGGTTGCTCTATATTGAGAGGTTTTTATTGGATTTTCAATACATGTAATTAGGGTTATCACTTGTATAAATACTCTACCTATTGTAACGTCTTTCATTAAGAGAAAATCACTTCATTATAAAACAATTCTTCCACTCTTGAAATCGAAAACAACTCTTGAAACAAAAACATTGGAACTCGGAACAAATGGAAGTTACGTTGCTCACTATTTGGTTTCGGTATTTTGAAAGATTGTAACGTCGAATTACCATGGTATGTTGTCTTAATCATTTGTCTAGGTTGGTGAGGAAACAATTTCTTACGCGGTATTTAACTACGTTATCCATGATTATATCCAAATTATTTAAAATTATTTCATACATAGATTGGACCTTAACGGATTTTAATCGAAAGCAATTTCATATTCGAACCTTAACGATGTCGTCGATATATAAAAACTTTGTTACGATTTTAAGAATTGAGATATTATTTTGACACATTTCAACATTTGTTGTATTTATTTATTAAATTTAAAATTTATATAGTTTTTTTTTTTTACAATTTCATGTTGTTTGATGGAATTTTACCTTCAAAATTCAATACTAAATCGCAAACATCTATCCTTTGGATATATTCAAAGTACTTGGAAAGTGTGAGTGGGCTTATAGCTATATGGGTTTTGACTTTTGAGGAAAATGAGACACGTCGGCTTAATTATACAAAAAGGCCCACATACTATAAATAACGATCATTAAATTACAAAATCAACGTAAAAAAATTTAAAACTATCCCTCGAAGTAAACCGAAATTCATTTAGTAGAATTAATTTCCCATCTTCAATGCTTATAATAAGAACCATTCTCCAAAATATTTTTCTTCACAAATTACAATACCAAGCAATCTTTCCCTTATACTTGCATATACCATATATATATATAGATTGTTTTATTCTCTTTTGCGTTTTGTGCGTTACAATGAAGGTTTGGTTCATATGCTTCCTAGTCATGACCATGGCCGTGACCATCGGCCGTGCCACTGCAGAGGCCGATAGCCCCGACCCGATGGGCCTCGAGCCGATGAGCCCCGACCCGATAGGTCAAGATTACGAAGACAATGGAGAAGGCGGCTCGAGACATTCCATAAGAGGAAGATATTTTAATTACGGAAAACTTAAACCATATAAAAAGCGGGTCGGTGCAAACCCTTACAGACGGCCTTGCACCGTTGCCGACCGTTGCCGTCGTGGTGGTGATGGTCATGGTTGATATAATGTTCCACCAGACTAAGGGTTCGAATTTTTATTTTCCTAATAATAAAGTAAAAAAATGGGTCGGCGTTAGTCCTTACAGACGACCTTGAATCAATATGTTATTGTCCTCCGATCAGTTGGACCGGATTATGGTAATTTTTTGTAATATTTATAAGTAATAAGTTTAAAATCATATATATATATATATATATAAGAGATTAATGCAAAATTCTCAGTATCTCAGACTATAACTATGTATGGACAACCAAATACATATAAACTAGTTTATCAAAAAATCAAACACATTTACACACTAGTATATACTTATAAATTAGATAACTTTATGCATCGGCTTAGGGACGTCTTGTAGTCAAACCTAACTTGGTAGTTCAATCGGTGAAATGGAATTACAAAACGTCTATCTCGTTCCGAGTTCAAGTCTAAATTGAAAGGAGAATGTAATTTCAATCACATGGCTTACGTTCGGTTCTGTAGTTATTCTAGACATGGATACAATTAGACACCCGATTACAAAAAAAAAAGTCTCGTAGTCGAAGATGACGAGTATGAAGATCTTTAGATAAGAAAAAAAAAACCTAATTTATTTTTTTTAAATTGAAACAGAAAAAAGGGATTCGTATTTAATAATCTACTCAGATTTATTCTCAGATTCAGTACGAAACCTTTTGTATAAGGAAAATCTAATGTATATTTTTCAAATTGAAATAGAAAAAACACAATCAGATTTGTGTTCGGATTTAGTAAATCTAACCATAAAAAGGGTTTAACACGAAATCCAAATTTCGAAATATTCAAGTCTATTATTTAAAAATTAGTATTACATTAAAATGAACGAAATTTCTAAAATTAGGTCAACTCTCCCATCTTTAAATCGAATGCTAATAGGTAACCATTTTCCATACTTTTAAAGACAATTATTCGGCTGGAAGGAAGAATCATCGCTTAACCAAAGATATTCAAAGTTCATATGTCACAATGAATGTTTGGCTCATATGTTTTCTCGTCGTGACCGCAAGACTAACGGGCAATTGCGCCACGGCCGAGACCGAGTCGACGTGCAATATCTTTCTTGGCGATTTGAGACGTTTACTAAAGCAAGGTTATATCGATTATTCAGGACTTACTAATCGCAAACCCATCCAGAGCCGATCTCCGCCTAGCCATTATCGTCTAGGTTGCTCTATAATCACCCGTTGCAAACATTACTAAGGTTTCACCATATTATATATAATTTGCGCAAATTTGAGATATAACTGACGATGTACCTGAGGAGTTTTAGATAGGGTCAAAGACCTGAAGAGATATAGTCAAAAGCAAAAGAGATAGAGATAGAGATGGGATCTTGGAGATAGAGGTTAAATCAGAGAAAATCAAGGAGAAGTCTATTAAATCACTTCGTGGAGATCTGAGGCAAAGTGGATGAGCTTATTTAAGAAGACACAAGTGCAATTCAGCTCGATAGAGAGCAAGATCATATTTTACAAAGAGTCTGTTCTGTTGGTGAGTGGTTACTCACTAGTTTGGGAGTGTGAGTCTGAGAGAGAGACCGATTGGGCAAATCTTCTTTCTCGGGTGAGTGATTTATGTTGTGAGTTTTTTTTATCAGTAGAATTCATTGTGAGAGGGGGAGAAACTCTGAGGGAGTTTTGTGTGTGTGGTAAGTGCAATTCTTACAACAAAAAATGAGTTGTACTTGACTCTCTTTTTCAAGTGAATAGAACTGGTTAGTATTCCATTTACTCTTTGAGGGTCAAAAATTTTCAATTGGTATCAGAGCCGATCACTGATCGTAGTAACAAGTCATCTCATATCAGTGCACGTGTTGGAGAGTCAGCATGGACTCACTCAAAGAATTTCAGTCTCTTGGAAAGTTTACAATTCTCGACTCGGAGAATTATAGTTTTTGGAAAGTGAAGACAATGAATCTCATCAAAGGAATTGATGAAGATGCTTGGAGTTCAGTGGAAGAAGGATGGAGTGCCCCAATCGACGTGAAGGATGGGAAGGAGATTTTGAAATCCAGATTTGATTGGACACCGCAAGAGAATAGAGCATCTGCACTGAGTTCAAAAGCAATAACCATCATCTTGAACACTGTTGATAATGTGACACCCAAAATCCGTATCCCGCAATACGAGTTGCGTCACATGGACAACTAAAATAAAAAACTCAATTCCAAAAATCCGCGTAAATTTAAAATTTTTCTTTTCAGAGTTAGCGGAAGGAAAACATTCATTCATACATATATGATACATTATTCCAGAGATAATTATACATAGTGAGTGGTAGCGAATTCATTATTACAGACCTTAAAAGTCTACCACCGATATAATATAAAACCGTTTTTCCAAAAGCATAAGCGTATCATAAATATATAATTATATATGATCAGTCGACAGGTCACCCAGGTCTCCGATATCCGCTCTGCGGCTATTGCTACTCACGATCTGAAACGATGCGTAACAACGTCCTAAGCTAATTGCTTAGAGAGTGAACTCGGGCGTAACCTGGAGTTCTATTCTCATGGAATCAGGGAAAACAATACATATATATATATATATATATATATATACTAATACTCTAATAAACAGGAATGGAAACATGGAATCACGATAATCATGTCAGCAATCACAATCAAGTCCATACGGCAAGTTGTAGGACAGAGTCCGTCAAATCGTCTCTACGTGCACCATGCGTAGGTAATAAACTCTGCGTAGCACTACCGCCTCTTGATGACATGTATTTTGGTGACATTTTGGTATAGGATGTCTAGTGCATTTTACTCGGTTTTGCATATTTATAGGCATTCTAGAGCACATTTAGTCTCGATATTACTTGGTTGCATTCTTTGGTGTCAAAACAGGTATTCATGCATAAAAGAGAGCAAAAAGAGTGGAAAACATGGACTACGAAACATCACATACGAAACGGGAACATTTGGAGTTGTTCCGGAGAAAAACATGAAGTCTAAAAAGTCAGATCTTGCAAGTCCAATAACTTCCATTCTACAAGTCCAAATTGCGTGTTCTCTACTCATTGGAAAGCTCTCTTCAATATCTACGCATAGACACTAAGATCGTACAAATCCGACATTGGAGCAGAAAGTTATGAGCAAATCTGTCAAGCATGTTCGAGTTGAAGAATCGACACGGACCGTGTTGCATTCGACACTGCCGTGTTGTGTCCGTGCTGAAAAAAGTGAAGTTTTGCTTAGAGAATTGACACGGACCGTGTTGTCATTCGACACGGCCGTGTTGATTCAAACTCGCCCGTGTTCAGCCCATGTCTAAAGTGCAGATTTTTAACAGAGAATTGACACGGACCGTGTTGCATTCGACACGGCCGTGTTGCATTACGGGAAAACTTCCTATTTTGCATCCGGACTTCCGTTTTCAGCAAAGGAAGAAGCCCAGCTGCCAAGCAAATAAATAGGAGACGTCTTGGGCTTCAAAAGTCATCGAGAGATCACAGCAGAAGCCA